GTCGAGGAAGGAGAAAAATGTCAGCCGAGCAGAGAGCTGAGCTGAACAAGGGACAGGCTCAGTCTGCTGGGCTGCGATGGTGGGGTTTCTTTACTCCATGTCTCACACCATCCACTTGAAAAAGACGCTCTTCCAAACGTTCTTAGTGTGGAAGGCCAGTCATGTTAGAGGAGACCAGAGCCTCAATCTGGGTAGTTTGCTGATGCTTCAGATTAAACAGGTTTCTGGGTCAGTTTTAAAGTTTCTCTTTGGTGTAATCAGTCAGATTATCCACAGGTGCAGAGAAAAGGCCAGATCCATATCAGCTGACAAAATTGGAATATGGGCAGAAGACTAAATAGAAGATCAATAACTCTGGTTATGTAAGAGACTATTCCTATTCACAGGAAATACACACTGAAGTATTTAGGGTAAACTGCCATAATGTATAGATGACTTACTCCCAAGTGGGTACATGCCTATGTATGCGTATATCCATGGATACATGCACGCATATGTGCATATACATGCAGAGAGAGAGAAAAGCAGATGATAAAAATGTTAACAACAGATGAATCTAGGTAAAGGGGATATGTGGGGTTTTTTTTTTTTTACTCTTTTTATTTTTGCAAACATTTTTGAAGTTTGAATATACTTCCAAATATAAAGTTTTAAGAAAAAAGTGCTTAAGTAAGACCCTAATAAATATTCAGACACGACTGAAGTGACTTAGCGCACATAAACAATGCTTAATTTGACTCAAAACCAGCCTGTTTTTTCAAACATGGCAACCCTTAGACAGTACAAGGAGATGCAAAGATCTGTTTATTCCAGGGAGTTTTCCTTCTCTAGTCCTAGTGTTACTTAATCTCAAAGTTCAGGCAAATATTAATGAGGATTCATCCTGCAAATTGTGTTTCTGTTGCATTTCCGGGCTTGCTTACTCTGCCTTAGGTACCGGCTGGGACCCACCAAAACTTCAGTCAATTTTTCTTTCTTAAGGAAATGAATGGAATTCTTTGATTTCCCTAGAACTCCGGGGCACGCTTTTCCTCTCACCACTAAACCACTTTATATCAAAGGAGACTAAGCTGCCTGTCCCAAATTCACCCTGAAGAATTCAACCAAAGAGAGAAGCTTTGGTTTCTACTCAAACCCTTGGGCCGGGTTTCCTGTCGAGGCCTCGGCAGAAATCGCGGGGGCAGCTCACAGTCAAGGCGGTTCCCGTGGCCCGACGCCGCAGGCGGGCCAGTGCGGGACCGGCTCCGCTCAGCCCTCCTGCCGCGGGCGCCCCGCGCAAGACCCGGCGGTCCCTTCCCCTCCTGCTCCCAGAGAGCCTCGCTCACGCCTCCACGTCTGCAGTGACCGGCGGGACACTGTGTGTTCAGTCAGTGGTTTACAGACACTCTGTGTCGCCGAGACCAAACCTTCTGGTCTGCGGCGCTGCTCTGGGGCACGTTCACTCGAAACCCGCCGCTACGGACACGCAGGGTGAGCTCCGTTGGACGGACGTCCCAGGGGCGCGAGGCTACTCGGCGCAGCCCAGACCCCGAGCGAGGGCGCGGCCCGGGGCAAGTGAGCGCTCAGTTACCGGCGGCAATGACAGGAGGTGCAAGCGAGTGTCGAGGAAGGAGAAAAATGTCAGCCGAGCAGAGAGCTGAGCTGAACAAGGGACAGGCTCAGTCTGCTGGGCTGCGATGGTGGGGTTTCTTTACTCCATGTCTCACACCATCCACTTGAAAAAGACGCTCTTCCAAACGTTCTTAGTGTGGAAGGCCAGTCATGTTAGAGGAGACCAGAGCCTCAATCTGGGTAGTTTGCTGATGCTTCAGATTAAACAGGTTTCTGGGTCAGTTTTAAAGTTTGTCTTCGGTGTAATCAGTCAGATTATCCACAGGTGCAGAGAAAAGGCCAGATCCAGGGAACCAGTGAAAACTAAAGTAAGTATACAGACACCACAATGAGTATACAGGGGGAGGGGAGGGGCGTGGGTGAGGAGACGTTCGTCGAAGGGCACAGACTTGCAGTTACAAGAGGTGTCGGTTCTTGAGAATCTAAAGGACAGCAGGCTGTCTGTGCGGCGCGTGCTGAGTCGTTTCGGCCGCGCCCGACTCTGTGACCCCTTGGACCGTGGCCCCCCAGGCGCCTCTGTCCATAGGGTTCGCCAGGCAAGGACACTAGACTGGGCTGCCACGCCCTGCTCCAGGGGATCTTCCAGCCCAAACACTGAACCCTCACGTCTTACATCTCCTGCACTGGCAGGAGGATTCTTTATCTCTAGCGCTACCTGGGAAGTCCAGCTTATGTAGTACTATATAGCAATTTCATGTTTGAAAGTTGCTAAAAGAACTGGTTAAATTTTCTCACCATAACAACAACAACAGAAAGTAATTACGTGAGCAAGGGATCTATTAACTAACCTTATTGTAGCGAACATTTTCCAACATACATAGGTATCAGGTCTGGACATCTTAGTTAATTAGTGTTAGCCACTCAGTCGTGCCCGACTCTTTGCGACCCCATGGACTGCAGCCCACCAGGCTCCTCTGTCCATGAGATTTTCCAGGCAAGGAGACTGGAATGGGTTGCCATTTCCTTCTCCACTGTACATCTTAAACTTACACAATATTATTTGTTAATTATATCTCAGTTAAACTGGAAGAAGAAGAAGAAAATAAAAATAAATAAAGCACCAGTTAGCCAGGTGAGGATCCATGGTCTGAACAGATCTCAGCAGATCAAAGAATAGTCGTGGGAATTCTGCAAGTGAAGCTTTTTCCTGATCAAGAGCAGAGTTAAGTCTTAGGTAGGAATTTTTGGTCCTCTCTTACTTTAAGGACATAGTCCTCTTTCTAATGGCCAGAGAAATTTGGCCTATGTCACTGATTCTCAACTTGCTCTTGCTCCATGTTGCCCAAGGTTTGGGCAGATGGATACCATTTCCAGTTTTGTCTGAAAATCCACGCACAGTCATCTACCTTGCTGAACTGGAGCAGAGCATAAGTGAACCAAGAATCTTTGCTATGTCTAATAAGATTCTCGATGCCTTTCCCTTAGACCTGAGACTCTCATGTTACGGGTCATGAATGCCCATTGATATGGATGTGTGCCGGAGGGATTCAAAGTTACCGGAGAAAGTAGATCATCAGTTTTATTCAACTGTAATAGATACACAACAAAATTTGTTTTTTATTCAAATATAGTTGGTTTACAATGTTATCTTAGTTTTGGGTATATAACAAAGTTATTCAGTTATGTATATATATANGCTTGGATGCTTCCAGTCTTAGGGACTCATTTCCTCCCTACTTTGTTATTATGCCCTGAGTTCTAGAACATTCTTACTTATACTTGGCTGAAACAGAAAGCGACTTCCCAGGTGGTGCTAGTGTTAAATAACCCCCTGCCAATGCTGGAGACGCAAGAACCTTGGATTCAATCCCGGGGTTGGGAAGATCCCCTGGAGGAGGGCACGGCAGCCCACTCCAGTATTCTTGCCTGGAGAATCCCATGGACAGAGGAGCCTGGTGGGCTATAATCCAAGGGCCACAAAGAGTCAGACATGACTGAAGCGACTTAGCACACACACACGAAACAGAAAAACGTGCTAGGTAAATTTCACTTTCTCTACTTTTGCTACTAAAAGGAAGCAGAAGCTGTGGGCACAGTTTAGGAAGGGCGCGTCAAGACATGGCTGAGGTGGAGGTGAGCTGCAGAGACTTCCGCAGATCAGAATTCTCTGAAACCAAATCTTCAAAAAGCCAAGAAACATACTAAGAGTTTTGACTATAACCTAACATTGAGACAGTGGATAAGGGGAAAATACCAACGATTCATTGGTATCCATAAAATGGATTATTCAATTATTTATTTATTGATTATTTAATTTATTATTTAATTTATTTATTATTTAATTATTTATTTATTATTTATTATTCAATCCATTCATAAAATGGATTATTGGTGTTGGTTGAAGTTGTTTTTGTAAACCTGTAATCTTAATAATAAAGTTGGGAGGGAAAGATAATATCTGCTGTCAATTAACATGCTGTTTACCACTCAGGTGATATGGCAATGTGGTATTTCCAAATGATGTCAGCAAATCAAAATGTGGAATCAAGTCATTATTTGCTAAATGAATAACAAATGTACAGAGGTCATACCAATTGTGATGGAAGCTCAAGTGATGATGAAGATACATACCAGCGTACACACACATTCTAACAACTGATGTCACTTGCATAATTCCAAGACCCTTGGGGTGGGGTAAGTAGAGATAGCCCTTGGTGCTCCTGCCAGTTAAACTGAAATGTTTTTCTCCAATTGCTTAAACTTTTACACAACATGGGTAAGAACTGCCATTCCACCCATCCTAACTTTTTTTAAGAAACTGACTGATATTCCTAAGTGTTGATCTAAAGCATGTGACATAAAAATCCCCCGGGAGCTTTTTTTTTAAGACAGAAAAATAGATGCCACCCCCAGGGGATCTGATTCAGTCGGGCTGGAGTGTGGACCAGGAGTCTGTATTTACATAAGTTCCTAGCTGTTCTGTTGGTGCTGGTGATGTGGAGACTTTTTTTAGGGGACTTTCTATGCGCATGAAGTGTGCCTTTACTACCAGAAGGTGGCTCCATAACATATTAAATCAGGCACTTTATAGATAACTAGGTAAGAAAAGAGCGTTGACTTGGCTAAACGAAAACAAGCTAACTAACTGGAAAAATTAAGATGTGGAGCTTCCCTCAGTTACCTTTTTTTTTTTAAGTGAAAGGGTTGGGTGGGAAGGGAGAATGGAAGAGGCTGCAGAAATATGGAGTGCTAGAAGGAATAAATGGACATTAAACTAATTTGACAATCATCATTTGTTATTTAGCTTCTCTCAAAAGTATTATAGCAAACATGTGTTGTTAAAGGAAATCTTTAAATATACCAGAAACACTTGATGTTTAATAAATAAAAAAAAGCAGAGATGCAGGCTTCCCTGGTGGCATAGTGGTAAAGAATCTGCCAGCCAACTCAGGAGACACGGGTTCGAACCCTGATCCTGGAAGATCCCACATGTCACAAAGCAGCTAACGCATGCTGTGTGCCGCACCTGCTGAGCCCACACGTCCTAGAGCCTGTGCCCCGAAACAAGAAAGGCCAGGGCAACGAGGGGCCCACGCGATGCACTAGAGAGCGACCCTCCCTCCCCACAACCGGAGACCCAGAGAAAGCTCACGCAGCAGTGAAGACTCAGCACAGCCTAGATGAATAAATAAGTAAAATTATCTTTAAAAAAAAAAGGACAGAGAGTCTCAGAGGCTCTTCCCCATCACCAAGCTTTCACATCTGGAGGGAAAATCTCAGGGCTGGTACCGCTACACGCGCTCACTCTTGTTACAGAATGCTGGTTGTTGCCGCAGAGAGCAGGTAGGCGCAAGGTGGAGCCACATGTGGACAATTCCTGTCTAAGCTGCTGCTGCTCCTTATTCAGGCTCTTAAAGACACTCACCTGGGTATGATCAGGGTCTGGGTCACAGCCACGAGGCCTCTGGCTCTAGCCCGAATCAGCACAATGACTGACCCCCAGCTCCTGACTCAGTCCTCACGCCAGGGATGTCTGGGGCGCATCATGCACGCTCAGAGGCGGTGTGCTGGGTGACGCCTCCTTCCACGGAGGCTCCCGAGTGGCCCGAGTGCTCCAGTGATGTCACTGTTCCCCAAGGTAACTTGCTGCTGTCGTCACGTCCCCAGCACTGCCCGTACGGGGACATTTCTTCATTCTGTTCTGTTCCTTATCACGTTGTTTTGGGAGCCTGTACTGGGGAAATGAGGCTGAGAATGACTAGAGATAAACTGCTGATATGAGGCACAGAGGAAAGCAGGCTTACACCCCCTTTCATCTTTCATTTGTCTGGCTCATCACTTCCGTTCCTCACCCTCACCACATCCTCCAGCCAGGAAAAAAAGCCATGAGTGAGGCATCACTGTGGAACTCAAGGTATCACACAAACTCCCACCTCCAGACCATGCCCCTGGGACGGTCACATGCCTGGTGGTAAGGCTCTTCGAGCTGTTCCCTTCCCGTTAAGCACGCAGCCTGGGAGGGAAGGTGGCGCAGGGTCTGGGATGTGGGGGCCGGAGACAGCCCCAGCCTCAGCATCATTAAGCCGATGTGTTTCCTCTGAAGCTCTTAGGGTGCCTTCAGCCAAGCAAAACCCAGGCCATCTTGCCCTGCCAACCAGACATATCCAAATGACAAGCTGCTTGCTCTGGAACCATCAGTGTTCGCCTTTGCAATGATTCCAAAGAAAATGAACCATCTTAACATTTCTAAAATATAACGTAGCCTCCAAGACAGGAGAAAGCCTGCAGTTACCCCTTCAGGAATTCAGTAGGGCCCTTAATCAAGCAATGGAGAAAAGCAATTCCAGAAAAGAAAATACAAGTTGTAGATGTATTTGCAGAAACAGGTTTGATTAATTGACGAACATTTTGATGAGAATTTCAAGTGATGAAAATAATTCCAGAGGAAGTCAGGCTGTCTACTGTGGCCCTTGAGTTATAGGTCCTTGGAGATAAGAAGTGAGAACCAGGAAGCAAGCACCATAGTTTCAAAGGCTGCACATTTAGCCTCTGTGTGCCGGAGTTTCGGCATGCTTTCTCACTTTTTTCCTGCTTAGATAACTGACTTCAAAAACTTACCCAAATGACTGTATTTCTCTAACAATTCTTCATTATGCTGGCATTATCTTCATATACAGTATGGATCATTTTTCTCCCCTTCTCAAAAGCTTGCAATGGCCCCTTTCATCTGTAAAAAAGGAAGTCCGAACTCTTGAATGTACTGCGGTCTTAAACATCCTTTGCTAGATTTGCAATAATAACAGGTAACATATAATGAGAAGCTGGTGGCACAGTGGTCAGCAGACTGGGGTCACAGTTCTGCCACTAGCTATGAGCTCCAGGCCAGAGTTATGTAGCCTCTAAGCCTCAGTGTCCTTTGTCAAGTGGGGCTAGGAAGAGAATTTAACTCATTGAGCTCTTGTGCTGGTCCATGAGAGGAAGTGAGTTCTATTTCCCATGTACCCCTCACGTGTTTTCTGTTTCTCACATCTCCCGTTCATTGTCATAGCTTTGCTTATGTTTTCTCAGCTATACAATCCGTTTCATGCACCCGTGCCCTCTACCCACTTTCTGCTTGCAGAAACTCTTCTTGGAATTCCAGGGCTGGCTTGAAATGCCACCTCCTCTTTAATGCATCTCTTGGCCCTTCTCCCATCAAAATGTATATCTCTTTATTGTCCTCCACATGCACCTCTATTATTATTACCCATCATTCAGCCTCACATTACATTTTGAAATTCACATATTTGGCTTCTTTTCTCCTGGATTATATATTATCTGATGCTCATCATATGCCAGCTTTTAACTTTTCCTCCACTCCTAGCACCTATCAGAACGATTTGCATGGTATCAACACTCCCTTGGTTGTAACTGTCAATTAAAATGGAGTTGCTTTAAAATTCAATCCTCCTATTAAATTAGTCTCCTCTCTGCTTGATTTTTTTTCATAATGCAGTATGTAACAAAATATTAACTATTCATATTCTAGGTATTAATCTATGTTTTAAAATTAGTTTTTCCAAAGCTAATGTGGCATAGTATAAAAATCCCACTCATAATTTGGTCTCTAAGACAGTATGACAGAAAAATTATTCTCTAATACTTAGAAATTCTTTTTTTTTTTAATTCTCTAATACTTAGAAATTCTTAGCTGGGATTTTTAATGCAAGTTTATTTTTTCATTATAAAAGTGATATAAAAATGCTATAAAACCTCAGAAAAGAAAGTGAAAATGCAGTGCATGTTCCCACCTAGCAAATGAGCTCATTTCCTAACACCCTGTTACTCAAAGCATGGTCTGAACTCATAGCAGCAGAAGCAGCTCAAATCTGGTCAGAAATGAAGAATCTCAGGCCTGACTCAGACCAACTCAATCAGCATATGGCTGATTTGCACACTAAAGGTTGAAAAGCACTGCTCTAAACTACGACCCAGAACCCAGCAGGGCATGTTTACTGAGCATCTCCTTCCTTCTAACAAATGTTTCTAGAACACCTGCTACATGCCAAGTACTATACTAGAGGCTGTGTCTTCACCTGCAAAATTTCTTCCAGGACTGACTCAAGAATATATGGAGAGCATGTTATCTTCTTTTGAATGTTTTCTTACACAATCTAAGTAGTTTTGACCGAAAACTGCCAGAGGTGCAAAACATCTCATTCTGAAGCGGTTCCACTTCTCTTGTTCTCTCACAGTGATATCTCTCAGTTTAAGGTTTAATGTGTTCTTATTCTGCTCCTTCTTTCCATTAACAGCTGAAAAATAAGGAGGGAAAGTCATTGAAATTAGCATTCCAGGTAACGCTGAAAGAACACTGCTTGTTTTCTTTAGGCAGCTTTCAAACATGAAGTTTTATGTTTGAGTTTTTTTTTTTTAACTGTACATTTAAGGAAGCCCAGAAAAGGTGACACTTCAAAAGTAAATCTTGGGATATTCCTTCAGGAATATGGGTGGGGCGAGGGGGCATTTCATTGACTAAAACTGCTAGGAGACAGTCGTTCCCAACATGCACAGCACTTACACAGAAGTGCTCTCTAAGCATCAGAGGCTGAATGATAAATAGTGTAGGCTTCCTTTTCAATAACCAAGTCTTCCTCGTGGCTCAGCTGGTAAAGAATCCGCCTGCAGTGCAGGAGCCCTGGGTTCGACCCCTGGGTTGGGAAGACCCCCTGGAGAAGGGAAAGGCTGCCCATCCCGACCTCAGGCCTGGAGAATTCCGTGGGCTGTGTGCCCACGCGGTAGCAGAGAGTCGGACACGTCTGAGCGACTTTCACTTTCTCTTTTCACTCACTCCTTCAGGAAACAAGCACAACTCTTCTGTCAATTAAAATGGAGTTGCTTTAAAATTCAATCCTCCTATTAAATTAGTCTCCTCTCTGCTTGATTTTTTTTCATAATGCAGTATGTAACAAAATATTAACTATTCATATTCTAGGTATTAATCTATGTTTTAAAATTAGTTTTTCCAAAGCTAATGTGGCATAGTATAAAAATCCCACTCATAATTTGGTCTCTAAGACAGTATGACAGAAAAATTATTCTCTAATACTTAGAAATTCTTTTTTTTTTTAATTCTCTAATACTTAGAAATTCTTAGCTGGGATTTTTAATGCAAGTTTATTTTTTCATTATAAAAGTGATATAAAAATGCTATAAAACCTCAGAAAAGAAAGTGAAAATGCAGTGCATGTTCCCACCTAGCAAATGAGCTCATTTCCTAACACCCTGTTACTCAAAGCATGGTCTGAACTCATAGCAGCAGAAGCAGCTCAAATCTGGTCAGAAATGAAGAATCTCAGGCCTGACTCAGACCAACTCAATCAGCATATGGCTGATTTGCACACTAAAGGTTGAAAAGCACTGCTCTAAACTACGACCCAGAACCCAGCAGGGCATGTTTACTGAGCATCTCCTTCCTTCTAACAAATGTTTCTAGAACACCTGCTACATGCCAAGTACTATACTAGAGGCTGTGTCTTCACCTGCAAAATTTCTTCCAGGACTGACTCAAGAATATATGGAGAGCATGTTATCTTCTTTTGAATGTTTTCTTACACAATCTAAGTAGTTTTGACCGAAAACTGCCAGAGGTGCAAAACATCTCATTCTGAAGCGGTTCCACTTCTCTTGTTCTCTCACAGTGATATCTCTCAGTTTAAGGTTTAATGTGTTCTTATTCTGCTCCTTCTTTCCATTAACAGCTGAAAAATAAGGAGGGAAAGTCATTGAAATTAGCATTCCAGGTAACGCTGAAAGAACACTGCTTGTTTTCTTTAGGCAGCTTTCAAACATGAAGTTTTATGTTTGAGTTTTTTTTTTTTAACTGTACATTTAAGGAAGCCCAGAAAAGGTGACACTTCAAAAGTAAATCTTGGGATATTCCTTCAGGAATATGGGTGGGGCGAGGGGGCATTTCATTGACTAAAACTGCTAGGAGACAGTCGTTCCCAACATGCACAGCACTTACACAGAAGTGCTCTCTAAGCATCAGAGGCTGAATGATAAATAGTGTAGGCTTCCTTTTCAATAACCAAGTCTTCCTCGTGGCTCAGCTGGTAAAGAATCCGCCTGCAGTGCAGGAGCCCTGGGTTCGACCCCTGGGTTGGGAAGACCCCCTGGAGAAGGGAAAGGCTGCCCATCCCGACCTCAGGCCTGGAGAATTCCGTGGGCTGTGTGCCCACGCGGTAGCAGAGAGTCGGACACGTCTGAGCGACTTTCACTTTCTCTTTTCACTCACTCCTTCAGGAAACAAGCACAACTTTTGGTTATTACTGCACAGCTCCAAAGGCTGAAAAGCAGGTTTAAACGAACGTCGGTGACAGACTAGAAGAGGAAGTTTAATAAAACGTCAAAAGGGGGCACTAGCAGCGAGATGAAGCGTACAGAAAAGTGGTCGCTTGGCGGCCGGGCGGTTACCTTGGAGACGAGGAGGTGGGGCCATTCGGTGATTAAGCGTCGGCGGACCTGGAGCCTTCCGTCTGCTTTTGGCCGGAGGTGCTGTTTCCTTTTCCCGTAAGCCCTCCGGAGTCACCGGGAGCTGCCTGGCCTGACACCCTCCGGGGTCCCACCCGAGGTCTGGTTGTTTCTGTCCATTTGTCTCTTCGGCAGGGCGTTCCTGCAGGTACCGAAGTCCGAAGTTCTCCTCATTACAGAGACCCTGTGGCTTAGTGGGAGAGTGTAGGGAATGTTGGAGAAAGCAGAGAAACGGCTTTCTGTGCCCAAAGCCTCTGGGCTCAAGGACCTTATTCCAAAATGGGATTTCCAGATAGGGCCGCCACACGAACTGTTCCCAGAAGGCTCCCGGACTTTTCGTGTCGTCTATGAAAAGGGGGTCGTACCACCAACCTACCACCAACCCTGCCTGACTTTTGGGGATACTGTGAAGAGCAAATGGGACCAAGAATTTGGAAGAAGGTTCCAAACAACAGGCAACGCAAATGCAAAGTATCATTATTTCCATTTCTGCAAAATGGGAATAAGGACTGTGTACCTGAATCTTAATTAGGTAATGGTTGAAATACAAAGCATCCTTGAACTCGTCATCCAGATATGATACAGTGCTCTTTTCCCAGCCTCTTTATCTCTCATGTTTCTGCTGCCCATTTGGTTTATTGGAAATGTCACATACCCCCTGCGTTATCGTCACTGTGCGCGTGTGTGTGTGAGGGAAAGGAGGAGGGCGACGTGTGGCTGCGTTTTACCTCCGTGCTGACTGTGTGAAAGGCCCGCGGAAAGAAGACCTGTGCGATCCCAGCCCCGACCCGTCCGAGCGCGCCTGTTCCCCCGCCCGCAGTCGGCGGCGGCCGGAGGAGCAGAAGGTGTTCTGAGCAGATTAAGGGAACAGCGGCTGGGTCGGAGAGGGTGGGGACTGCGGGTGCTGGGGGCTAGGGAATCTCGTCCTTGCCCCGCGTCTTCCCGGGGCACGAAGGCCTTTGGGCAAGACTGGCGTGACAGAGTTGGCCCTGAAATGCTGGAGAACCTGGCGACGATGATCGCTGAATGAGTGGCACTGGGCTGAGCTTGAACCGCTGACTGGCAGAAAGGGATGCTAGCGTTTAGGAAGGTAAGAAGGAAACTCAGAATGGGGACCATCTGCTCCCCCAACCCCGGCGGGACAAAGACACCGGAGGTCTGCAATGCCGACTGGATGGCCTCCCTCCCGCCTCGCCTCCACCACGTCCCCCTCTCCAATCTGGCGATTCCAGGTATTCTTCTGTTCCTACTCATACCCACTCTGCTTCTGCCATTTCAGTGTGGTTAATGGGGTTGGGCTGCCTTTCTGTTGTGCTGAGAAAATAACTGTCACTGACCTTAACTAAACCTCCTTTTATTTCCAACTAAAAGCTTAACATTGAAGCAGCTGCTGTAAAGAGATTTAAGTGCACTGCATCACTGGCAAGAAGGGGCTTGAGAATGGAAGCCCCATTTTTGGTTTGTCTGTCTGTTTGGCTCTTTTGTTTTGTTCTTGAATAGACTTAGAATAAGAACATTACCTTCTTAATGTTGGGGCCAGGGTATGTGAGGGATGTGTTTTCTTGAATCACTCAAAATAAAAAGGAGAGATCAGGTAATGAATAAAAGGTAATGAATAAAAAGTCATGAGCAATTTTAGATCTGGATCAAAATTAACACTGTAGAGTGTTTTCTGTCTCATTTATCTGGCCTTGCATAGTGGAGAAACAAGAAACAAATTAGTTTTTAAGAAGAGGTTCAGAACTAGGACTGGGTGTCCAAACACATATTATTGTTGTTGGAAAAGCCAGAAATAGAGAACACAGGTGCTTGTCACAGCCAGTCATTAGGTGTGATGATGAAGTGGTGTTTGAAGCTTTGTCTATATATGCACAGGTGTCTGCCTGGCTGATCTAGAACTTAAGGCTCGGAACCCACTTCTGCACCAACCGCTCTCCCTCCTGGGGGTTGTGTACTGTGACAACATGCTCATTAGGTTTGTCCTTTTCCTCCCATCCAAAAGCTGATTAAAGCTGGGTTTCCAGGGAAGGAGGTTGACTACAGTGATCCTGTTATTGGGTGCTGGGCAAGGTCTAGATTCTGATACTCGGAAAGCACTGCCAGGAGCAGGGGAATGGACCACTGCCAATCCTTTCTCTCCCCTAGAGACATAACAATTGCCTTCACCCCTAGACTACCAGGCAAACTCCCAAACATCCCTGGGAGCAGTCTGCCTTTTGGTGGCAGACGGGATGACCTCATGCAACCCCAGGCCTTTGCTTTCTATGCATGAGGAAGAGTGTGGTGCCGGCTTCAGGCGCAGCCTTTCCTGAGTCGCCTCTTCTTTTGGAAGTCTTCCAGGTTCATTGTCCTCATAGGCTCTTGCTTTTGAGCAAGGAGAGGGTTGCTAAATCTCTTTATAGTTTTGATCACTTGTGTTTTATCAGCCACTGACTACGGCTCTCTGGGAAATACCAGACGGTGGTGCCTCAGAACTGGTCTTTTCCTTGTTTAATTGATGCCTGTGGAGTCATTGCTGAAATGATGCACAGGCCCCTTTTAACATGAGTCATTTGTCATTAGGCTTTTTGACGGAATTGTTTTGCCAGGTGGTATGGCAAATAGAATGTGTTTGCAAACAGAATGGCATCTTAGGCAGGCACAAAATGACTCTGTCGTTCGGGGCATGTCCGGGTAGGCTCAGACTTCCTCCTTCCTGCTGTACTTTGGACAGTTCAGGCCACAGCAGCAACTCTGCCCGTGATGTGGCTGTGTACTCTGACCCCATGACTCCAGAAAGGAGCTGGGCATTTGTTCTGTAATCTCTAGGGTTTCTCCCAGTTACTAGAATTGCCAGAGTTAGCAAATAGTGGGGCCTGCTGCTGTAACTGGAAATTCTGTGGTTATCCACCAAGGGGACACAGAGATTTGTTCAGCCACTGCTTTGTGAAGTCCTGTCCTTCTAAGAAAAAAAAAAAAGTGCCCTTGACGGCTCAAAAGATATTGAACTCATTGCTGTGAATGCCCTTTTCCCAGCAGCGGATGGGACTTGAGTGTATGTAAAGATATAAAGCTCGGAAAATGAAAACCACATATTAAATTCTAGCCATTTGTGAACCCTTTCCCCTCCTCCCCGGCCCTGCACCCCTTCCTCGATGCTAGTTCTCCTTTCTCTACCTTGAGCTTCATACTCCCCAGCTAAGGCCTAGCAGTCTAGTTCTGCTAGGCCTTGCTGAGAGATTCTGAAATACAGACAGCCGTTCGGGGAGTGGAGGCCACCATCTTCCTCCTTGTTCCTCTTTTCCTTTCCCCTCCTCATCGCCTTCATCATAATAGTTATTATGCACTGAGCACACCCACGTAGCACCTTCTGGCATGTATTACCTCAAACCCTTACACCTCCAGATGGGTAGTAACCTCATTTCAGAAATAAGACAATTATTGTCCAGATAGATTAAGTAATTTTCTCAAGATCACTCATAACAAACAGCAGAAGTAATATTTAAGCTCCTATGTAACTGGCTCCAAAACCCGCGCACTCTGCCTGTGCCCTTGAGGAGGCCCTGGAAGTTCAGAGCAGCCAGAGGGAGGGACGGGGGAGCGTTCTGTAGTTGGAAACTAGTTTTCAGACTGTCCTCTGCAACAGATGAAGGAACTTTTAAAACTGGGTGATTTTTTTATCTGACCAATTATGTATCACTGTCTAGCTGATATATACATAGATATGTATGCTTATTATATATCTATTATCTATTTTATATATTTATCAGTTTAGTCGCTCAGTCATGTCCGACTCTTTGCAACCCCATAAACTTCAGCACTCCAGGCTTGCCTATCCATCACCAACTCCCGGAGTTTACTCAAACTCATGTCCATTGAGTCGGTGATGCCATCCAGCCATCTCATCCTCTGTCATCCCCTTCTCCTCCTGACTTCAATGTTTCCCAGCATCAGGGTCTTTTCCAATGAGTCAGTTCTTCACATCAGGTGGACAAAGTATTGTAGTTTCAGCTTCAACATCTGTCTTTCCAACGAATATTCAGGACTGATTTCCTTTAGGACTGACAGGTTGGATCTCTTTGTAATCCAAGGGACTCTCAGGAGTCTTCTCCAACACCACAGTTCAAAAGCATCAATTCTTCGGTGCTCAGCTTTCTTTATAGTCCAACTTACACCCATTCATGACTACTGGAAAAACCATCGCTTTGACCAGATGGACAGTTTTGGTGAAGTGATGTCTCTGCTTTTTAATATGCTGTCCGGGTTACACACAATGTATGTGCATGTTGTTGTTTAATCGCCAAGTCGTGTCTGACTCTTTGCAACCCCATGGACTATAACCTGTCAGGCTCCTCCATCCATGGGATTTTCCAAGCAAGAATACTGGAGTGGGTTGCCATTTCCTTCTCCAGGAGATCTTCCCAACCCAGGAATCGAATCCGTGACTGCTGCATCAGCAGGCAGATTCCACAGAGCCACATGGGAAGCCCCATATACATCCCTGTCCAGAAACAGAAGCCAGTAAGATGTCCCCACTTGGAACTGGAACCCAGTAAGTTTTAAACTCAAATGTAGCGCTTCGACCTTTTCTGTATGTGCACATGTGCTGTGTGTGCCAGCCCCGGGTGTCGCTACCGTGGGTCAGCTCCGTCAGGGTGGGAGTGGGGCAGCAGTGACATGGGAAAGGGCAGGGAAAGCAGGGCTTCTGACCTTAATGGAAGAACTGGGATGCAGTCCACTGTGCCAGATTTGAGTGCACCTGTTGCATTTGCCTAAATCATGATGGGAGAGAGCAAGCGTGAACATGCATCTCTCAGCAAAGCCTTGATGTGTTATTTCGTGCCCACAACTGTTAAGAACAGCTGTTAATGACCAGTTTCACCCAGACATATTGACCTGTCTTGGAGAAGAACCTCAGAACAGTTCTCCCTGCCCACTGCATAGAATAATTTGAGACCTTAAGGGTGAAAAATCTGGAAAAGTCAGGTTTTTTAATTAAAGCTTTAAACTCTACAAACAATTTTGTTCATGTTAGTGCAAGCATGATTTTTTTCTATGGACTGATAGGAAAATTTTTCTCTATAACGTGTGTGGTTTCCAATGAATTCTTCTTTATATATTTTAGTGCTGTTTCTTTTTTTAAAACATGTTTTCTCTCTTTTTAAAAATAATCTATTTGGTCTATTGGAAAGAGCGTTGAACATAAGGGTCTGGAAATTTGATGTTGATTCTGGCGGTTTGATACTGTGGAAGCACCTGGATTTCTTAGGGCTTAGTTTCCTCGTTTGTAATTAAAATGAAATGTAGAAAAGTGAAAGCAAAAACCCTTCAGTCAGGTCCAACTCTTTGCAGTCCCATGGACTGTAGCCCGCCAGGCTCCTTTGTCCATTGAATTCTCCAGGCAAGAACACTGGAGTGGGTAGCCATTCCCTTCTCCAGGGGATCTTCCTGACCCGTGGACTGAACCTGAGTCTCCTGCCTTGCAGGCAGGATCTATATCTTCTGAGCCACCAGGGTAGTGTCCTTTCCAAATGAAAAATTCTTTGATTAGTTTGAAGGTTTTTTGTTTCTTTTTTTGCCTAT